GTGTGTGTGTGTGTGTGTGTGTGTGTGTGTGTGTGTGTGTGTGTGTGAGTGAGAGTGTGTGAGTGAGTGAGAGAGAAGCATGACTCCGCCCCTCGTGTAAAGGCACAGAGACAGAGGAGGTTTGAGACTGCGTAACTTCTGAAGTACCGCTAACCCCAGACCTTATCAGTAGTCCCGTTCTTTACTCATTTAGAAGCAGTTTACGTTTAGCACCGAGTTTCAGGACGCATCCCTACTAGTTACTTAATAGTATGCAGGACAAAATACATTTTCATTTGTGTAGCATTTTTCAACATTGTGTAGATTTGATAATATCCTGCTTTGGTGTTCCCTGTGATGGTATCACAAATACACTGGCTGGTAGCAATGCTCTTTCTGTTCGTCAATAACGTCACTTTTTTCCCAGGGGGCGACTCCCAAAGACGGACCAAGCGCTGGCTGCACCATCGTCACAGCACTGTTATCCCTGGCAACCAACCAGCCGGTGCGCCAGAACATAGCCATGACTGGTGAACTGTCACTGACTGGCAAAATACTGCCAGTGGGCGGAATTAAAGAGAAAACTATCGCTGTGAGTACAAGAAAGAGACACAGATAAATATGATTCCCAAACACAGGAGAAATTCTCTTTTTTTTCTTCTCAATATCAGTATCTGTTGTCAGTATAGGTTTCATCTCAGCCCATCTGACTGGTTCTGTTGTCTGTTTTTATTCCAAACATTCTTCCTCGTCAAAGCCTGTGTTGATTTTAGCGGTCCTTGTTGACTTAAAGTGGTAGTCTTTAGAGAATCTCTCATTCTACTGCAGCAGGGACAGTCTGTTCTGTGCAGTCTGTTTTTTGTTCTCCCATACTCCCTTTCCCCCCCACCCCGCCCAACAATACGACCTGGGTCTCCAGCAGGATCTGGGTCTGTCACTGGGGGGTCGCATCACCGAAGACCACGCACTGAGGACAGTCTTTCCTTGTTAACAGGCATGCTGGGAGCAGGCGGCACCGTCACTACCTGCAGGGAGAGAGGGCGCAGCAAGCACTAGGTTTGCAGCCCGGGATGTGGTGAAGGCCGGATGACGGGTGCTGTAAAGAAGACAAGGCCGGAGTCATGAGCCACTTTTACTTTCCGGGCCATTTAGAACCGGTCGTTGCGTGTCACTGCGGTAGAAATGCGCACCGAGACAGCCGGACAGCCGGACAGCCGAGCACAGACGGAGGTTACGATATTGTAACCCTCAAGTTCGCGCAGGCAGAGCCTTTTATAGGACTGTATGGCTAATACTCTCCTCCAATCATGAGCATGCGTTTGCCCACTGATGATTTGCATAAGCATAGGCTCCTTTGGCAGAGGGCTCCGTCTGTGTGAGTTAGACAGAAGGTTGCGATATTGTAAGCCAGGTTCTATTAGCACAGGAGGAGCCTTCTATTGGACTCTATGGGTGATACTTTGCTCCAATCACAAGCACGCATTTGCCCTCTGAAAAAATGTGCCTCCTTACTAGAGGATCCACCTGTGCTTATAGAACCTGGGTTACACTATTGTAACCTTTGTTGTAAATCACACAGGTGGAGCCCTCTACTGGACTCTATGGGTAGAGTGAGTGGAGCCCGATGAATGCACGCGCTGCCGCGACTTAACATTGACCCAACCACACTGATCCCGACTGACTAAGGGTTAGTCGCTGCAGCCCACCTACTTCTTTAAAACCTAGGCCGCCACAACCTAGGTAGCAGGTAACTGAACTAGGTAGAGCCTGAGCCTGCAGGGGTCAAAAAGAGAAGCGGTAGACACCCTGCACACCACAGTACCTAGGTCATCAAGGAGGATGGAGACATGTACAGTAGATGCAACCGACACACACTCACCCTTTACATCAGTCTTGTGTCGTTCCAGCGAGCACAGATCCAGAAAAAGATTCCGTCATGCCTAACAGATAGTATGAGCGGGCAAGGCGACGGCCAAGCAACCGTCGTACATAAATCCTCAACACTCACCCCACCGAACAAAGCTGCCGACACTGCCACACTGCATGTAGAGTGTGTGCGGACCATAGTGGGGGGGTCTCTTCCTGCCTGCCTAGATGCTTGAGGTGCACTCAGAAAGCCATCCCTCCAGGTGTTTGATGAGAGCCGTGTGTTCAACATAACATGCTAACGCACAAAAGGCCACCAAGGCATCGAGCACCAATGGCAGTTCCCACTGTAGGCAGGAGGTATGCGCCCTGGGCATTTTCTCACGAGTGGGTGGCCAAAGACCAGTCTGGAGGCAAATCTCTTGTGGCAGAAAGAAATGGTTGCTGCAAACACTTCAATAGTGGGATGAGACATTCATCAAACATTGCAAAAAGGAGAGAATAGACCCAACTACACATGCAAATTGATCTAGCCGCCTTTCCTCTCACTAGCAGTGGAGCTCTGATCACTTTGCCTTCTAACAGGTTATGGAGGATCCTGCTCCAGCCACCTGGATTGTCTGCACAACATCTGTGGACAGACCAGTCCTCCTCAGCCTGTCCCCCTCAGGAGTTCAGATCTTGTCAAAGTCCTTTTATTTGTATAAACTCTCAGTGGACATCCGCTACACTGGCCAGCAGTTATTTAGATGTTTCTGTTGGCCAACATGTTGATTTGACAAACTGACATTACAAGCTTTAGATCCCACTGCTGTCAGGGCAAAATATAGTTGTTTTTGTGAAAGTAATTTTGAAATGTATTTCAACTAATCATTTACCCAAGTAAACTGTATTTTCTTGTCCCTATTAGGCCCGTCGTGCTGGTGTGACCTGCATCATCATGCCGGCTGAGAATAGGAAGGACTTCTCTGACCTGCCCGACTACATCAGCGAGGGCCTAGAGGTCCACTATGTGGATCACTACCACCAACTCTACCCCATCGCATTCCCACAGGACCAGTCTTAACCTGATTTCAACTACAGCACTAAAATCAAAGCAAGGTGGACAAAGAGTGACTGTTTTGGTTTGTTACCAGATAAGACTGGTTGTAGTAGATATAAAGTTTGGCACTACATTATCTCTTCTAGAATCATCCAGAAGAACAGCTGACTTTGTGATTATTCACAGGACCATCATGTGACAGAAGACAACATCACTGAGCCAACTGGCCAAAGATGGACATGCACAGTAAAGTCATGGTAATGATGAACACAGGCCGGTCATCACAGGATGTGATGTCATTGATTAACTGAGGTTGATGTGACAACCTTGCTGCCAGTTAGCCTCTTTACCCACAGCTCTCATTATATAGGGCTTTGGATGGACTCGTTCACAGATTTCTTATATTATTTTATATTAATATTGGCCAGATGTGAAGATGATGTTGAAATAAATTAAATCATAAAAGCAACTCTGCCGACTGCTCTCATCTTTACTGATCAACCTGTGATTTTTTTTTTTAGTGACTGAGATTGGATTCCATTGTCTGGATTATTATTATTATCTATTAAAAAAACAAGAGAAACAAGAGAAAAGGTTATTTAACAAACAAAACTAGATTCCTACTGTTGAGATACAATCATGCACAGATGTGGTTATAGACAAATATTAAAGATAATTAATTATTTATATAT